ACCTGTATAATCATGTTAAAGATCTTTTGTATATGAAAATTATCTTGATATAATACCAAGTACTTTAAGGAAGTATCTTACAAGAATAAGAATATCTTCGCATTCATTACATGTGCAAACTGGTAGGTTTCATAAAAATAGAATTGTTAGAAATGAAAGATATTGTTTATATTGTAACTACATGACGTCGAAGATGAATACCATTTCATTTTAATTTGTCCTTGTTATTATTGATATAAGAAAAAATATATAAAAAAATACTATTATATAAGACCTAGTATGCTTAAATTCACTGATATGTTAAAATCAAACAATAGAAGTTATACTTTTAAATTTATCCTTGTATGTACGAGATGCGATGTCTCATAGAAATAATTTAGATATAGGTTGATACAACTTAATATATTAATAATTCATCCTCTAATTGATATGAAAGAGACATGTTTTTAGAATCCGATCTTGTGATTTATGTTAGTATGTATTGTAAAATTGTGTTTATTTATGTATGACGATGTATGATTGTATAAGTCAAAAATAAAGTATCTGTTCTGTTCTGTTCTTAAATAAGCAAAACTTTAAATTAAATTTCAAAAAGATGCGTTTTATCTTGCCTATGGGAGCATTTAAAAGTAACAATAAAAAACAATGGCGACCATTTTAAATTGATTTTTAAAGGGTCAAGGACTAAAAATAAAGCTTTAGTAGAGCAGAAAAAGAATTCAGCGTACTCGAAATAGATAAGTAAACACAACTACCTGCATGTACTTATCAAAGCACAGAAGGCGCTGAATTTGTTTGGGTCTCAGAACCAATGCTGTTTCCATTGTTATAACTGTAGTAAATTGGCTATAAGGCTAGTTGCAACACTGATATTCAATTCAATGTTTATTTTTCTTAAAAAAACAAACAAACATGAGTTGTCTTAACTGGGATTTTAACTCCAGACGTCTCGCTTCCTAAACGAGCGTGTAACCCCTCGGCCACAGGGAAGTTATTAAATGACAGACTGAAGAAAACCACATTATTCTAAATTTAAGTTTGCTAACTCAATTTGTTTTTCAGATTTGTAACCCTTATTAATTTCGAGATACTTTTGTTTCACGGTTAACCTGATGTTTAACACTGATGTAAATACTCATGGAGCTTAATATATAAAGAATTTACACAATATTAGAAATCTTTGACCAATCGAGAACTATTTGTTCTTCCTCGAGAAGGCTTTGAAAATTAATGCGCCTGTCATTTTGACAATCTTTACTCAGTGATCTCCCCTCAATTTTTCGGCGTGATTGTACTTATAAAGGGAAGTAACCGCTTCGAGGAGTTCGGACTACTTTTCGGATTTTGCAAATAAGCATATCAGGGTCTGAAATTTCGCTATCATTTTGTTTGTTTTTTGACAACCCAAACAAACTTAAAAATGCCGTTAGGGATGAACATTTTCCCCAAATCAAACCAAATCAAATCTGATTAGTAAACATGTGATAAAAAGCCCACAAGAAACTTCATCGCAAAGAGCTTAGATATTTAACATGAAGCATCGTCTAGAGGTCTTTTTTGTCTCCACCCGGGATCATTAAGTTTAAAATAAAATCATGAATTTAATATATTTCAAAATATATTCTTTATTTAGTTCAAATAGAATATGTAAAAAAAAATTATCCTTTCAATGTCCCCCCAGAGCGTATATATTAAGCATAAAAAATACCTTGAATTATTAGATAAAGAAATGACCTAACAGTAGAGCGGATCACTAGTTTATATAGACTTATAAATGAAAACACATTTATACCTTTTTGTATTAAAACTAAAATGCAGAGAATATAGATATTTGACATGAAGCACTACCTTGAAGACTGCAACAAAATTATAAACATGCACCTGGGATTGAAAATGTCTCCCACTACATTGGGATAACTTTGGTTATATAATCTTCATAAATAAAAAAGTCATATAAATTCTCTACTACGAAAGTAAAATACGTTGAGTACCTATGTTTGACACGTGACATTTCATTGCAGCCGTTACTTCTCTAGCAATAGATCTCGGGTGAGCGATCAATAGCTAGCACGTCCCGTTGTCGTATTTAGGGATATAGCAATGAATTTTTGTGCACATTTTCAAATGCATATTTTTTACCTTCATATCTTTTTCAAACAATTTGACATTATACTTGTTTTGGATATTACTTGTCCCATCTCATTTTAGGCTTAATAGTCCGATGAGTGATATAGGGTCACTGTGAATTCTTGTTTTACTTTATCATTGTATGCAGGTACAGTTATGGCTAATTGCACTATTAAACGTTAAATCACACCTTAAAATAAACTTTATTTGTAGATTTATTTATAGATGACACAAACTCATTTGAATAATATTCTTTGTATCTTCTTGAGCTTGATACTTGATCTTTGGAATTACATTAACATGTATCTTGTTGAGGTATATGATAACAAGTAAATTTGCAGACAATATTTGAAAGTATGTCGAATTATATGTTCCTGTACATAACCCTAATGAATAATATAAAATCTTTCCATACTAAGTCCTGTCTCGTAATTACATTTTTTTTTCTTAAACTTGTTGAAAAATTATACTTGTCCTGTAGAAATATTGGACTCGTTCTGTAGAAATATACTTTCTGAAGAAAAAGTATAATTTTTGAAGAAATATAGTACTTGTTTTGTAGAAATATTATTATTTCTGCATATAATTTCTGATGTAATAATATACGGGGAAGTCAAAGGCCGGGGCCGCAAAGCAGGTCCGGGCTTTGGCTTGCCCGGCTATAGACTACACGTGTATGTTTAAAAGAAAATTAAATAAAAAACAATTAAAGAATATATAGAATTCTATACCAATCAATCAAATTTTCAGTGTCAGTTCCATTTGGATCTGCCTCGGCTATTATCTATAATAACCGAAGACTTACGGAAAGGGCCGAGTAGTTGCGATTGTGTCAGTTCCAGTCGGGCGCCGCCATTTTCAATGTAACTCAATGATAATATTCGGGTTATTCCGATAACGAACAATCGCAACTTTTCGGATTAATAATAATCGTCGTGTATTCCGAGGGAATTTAAAGCAAAAAATGAACATTTTTTTACCGATTTACCCGTTCATAGGCTTCGCCTAATTTCATATTACTTGTCATGAAGAAATATCATACATGTTCTGTAGAAATATTCATTTTATCTGTAAGGGCATTTTATTCTGTACAAATATTGGCAATACTTTACTCGTCAAGTAGAAATATTATACTTGCCCCGTAGAAACATAATACTTGTTCTGCAAAAAATATTATACTTATCCTTTAGAACTATTATATCTGTAGAAATATTATATCTGTCTAGTAGAAATATTATACACTTGTTCTATAGAAATGCGTATAAAGCAAGCACCCTAATAAGTGTTTTATCTATGGTGGCTGATTTACGCCATGTCGTATTTTCGCATTGTTGTCTAGAAAATGCGAAAAAGCAAAAACACAAAGGGACGACAAAGTTGGACTTTGTCGTCTCTTCGTGTTTTCGCTTTTTCGCATTTTCGAGGCAACAAAGCGAACAGACAACAGAAGAGGGCGAAAATACGACACATAAAATCCTTCGTATATTCGCATTCCATCTGTCGTATTCTCGCTTTTTCGCATTGTTACATTTTCGCTTTTTCGCATTGTAACATTTTCGCTTTTTCTCATTGTTACATTTTCGCATTTTTACATTTTCGCATTGTTACAATTTCGCATCTTCGCGTTCTGGTTGCACATGCGCATGGAGACATCAATATGAAAATTACCTTACGGTACAGCTAATGACATTTTTTGTACCATTAGTTTATTGTTGTCCTGCGTTAAGTTCTGTGAACTAAGAGAAGCACAGTATAATACAATATGAACTAAATACAATATATTTAATTTTTTCATGAATTTTAATTGTTGTCCTCTTATGATATTCGTGCAATATAGGGAAGACAGAATGACCATCAAGAGATCTTTGTTTTAAAGATCTTAGGAACGCCTGACAACATGGTATAATGTAATAATAAATAAAAATGATTTTAAATATTATTATATAAATTTTAAATGAACTTAATCCAACATGCACTCTATGAAATCAAATAAAGTATGTCTTAAAAACTCTAGTACTAGAATAACAGAAATTATAAAATGTTTTCCTGTGAAAATACACCTCACTCTCAGACATATCTATTTTACGATGTGTGCGGCAGTGCCTTTATCGTAAATCTCATGTCACACCAGTCACACCCGACAGCAAAATATACTGATAATCTAAAGATGGAAGGAACAAATTACTGTATTACTGATTACTGTATTTATTATAATAATTGTTGCATTAATTGATTAAAAACAGTCTGAAAGCGTAACCGTTATATTATTTAATTATTTTACATGTGTAAGGAGCGGGGTGATACTTGTAAATTATACATCGACGTGAATACAACATATCTGATATAGGACTATTAAATAATACATCATTGTGATCAGATATTTACAAAACTTGTAACAATGCGAAAAAGCGAAAATGCAACAATGCGAAAATGTAACAATGCGAAAATGCGAAGAGACGACAACAAAGTTATACTTTTTGCTTCTTCGCCTCAAAATGCGAAAACACGAAGGGACGACAAAGTTGGACTTTGGACTTTGTCGTCTCTTTGTGTTTTCGCATTTTTTTGTATTTTGAACGCGAAAAAGTGAAAATACGACAGATGGAATGCAAATATACGACAGATTTTATGTGTCGTATTTTCGCCCTCCTTCTGTCGTATTTTCGCTTTGTTGCCTCGAAAATGCGAAAAAGCGAAAACACGAAGAGACGACAAAGTCCAACTTTGTCGTCCCTTCGTGTTTTCGCATTTTCGCATTTTGAGGCGAAGAAGCGAAAATACGACATGGCGTAAATCAGCCACCATATATATATCAGACAAAACAATACAACATAACACTTCTGAAATAATGAAATACCTAATTTTTGTTACAGATGCTATGTACAATATGTATGTTTCAACTTGTTTACAACTGGACAGGAGGTAAGTGTTTTGTTTGATTATTTAACTTTAGTTAAACTTTATATTATAATATATATATATATATATATATATAATATTATATATATATATATAATATATATATATATATATATATATATATATATATATATTATATATATATATATATATATATATATATATATATATTAGTATTATATATATATACACACAAAACTTAGTAGATATATTTTGGTTATTTATTATGCATATAATGAACTCTAGACATATTTTAACATCATTTCGATGATACAACGTAAACTGTTCAGCAATTAAAATTAAAATGATAGATTCATAGCTTTTTATATCGCATTTCTATATGATAATTTTATAAGGAAGTTTGACTTTATTTTTATTACAGAGGTTGACGAAACATGTAAAGTAGATTGTGCATGCTGTAAAGATAGGATATGTGGACCAGGGATTACTGCTACAGATTGTACTCATGGCTGTATTGATGGTCATAGAGGTGCTCGGTGCTACTTGCGATGTACACACAATTGTACAAAATGCCCTGATCATGAAGATACGTGTACTGAGTGTTATGATGGCTATTATCCCGGTCCTGCTAGAGACTGCACATCAAAGTGTTTACCCGGATGTAAAACATGCACGTCAGGAACCACGTGCACATCATGCAAGGAAGGATATTATAACGCCGCCGGTCAAAATGATTGTCGTAATCGTTCATGTCCTGAAAGTTGTAATTGTGATAATGGTCAGTGTACATCATGTAAGGACGGATACTACGATACCAGTAAATTATGTAATATTTTATGTCCAGGTAACTGTGTCACGTGCTCGTCGAATACTGATTGTGGCTCGTGTAAGGATGGTTATTATAAAGGTTACCCTAACGATAACATTAACCTCCCTTTGTTACACGACTGTACATACACATGTCGGGATAACTGTGTACGGTGCCCATCCTATGATAGTTGTTTGGTTTGTAAAACTGGGTTATATGGACAAACCTGTGAGAAAAATTGTTCGACTGGTTGTATGTCAAAGAATTGCGATATATTAACTGGAAACTGTGATTGTCTTCCTAATTTTTCTGGGAAAAGGTGTGATAAATGTAAAACCGGAAAATATGGACATATGTGCGAGCAACAGTGTCCTGCAGGGTGTAAAGGTAACGTATGTGAAAGAGATTCCGGAGAGTGTACAGACGGATGTACTATAGTTACGATTATTGGGGATAAATGTGACGTTTGTTTAACTGGCTGGTATGGACAATACTGTAACATGTCTTGTTCTGTAGGCTGTAAAAATCAGCAATGCGAGAAAAGTAATGGTGAATGCTCAAATGGATGTCTTGATAACTTTCTAGGAGGACGGTGCAATCGATGCATACCTGGCAAATATGGAGATTCATGCAACAGTCAGTGTCCAGTCAACTGTGACAAGATAGGCTGCGTCATAGACTCTGGCAATTGTTTCAATTGTAATGAGAACTTTGATGGAGAGAAATGTGAAAAATGTACCGTTGGTTTTTATGGTTCCCTTTGCTCTGAGAGATGCCCGTCTAATTGTTTAAAAAGTGTTTGTGATAGAGATACAGGAACGTGCTCAGATGGCTGTGTCGTCAATTATTCTGGTGACAGATGTTGTATAAATAATAACAACTGCATCACATGTTTGTCAAATACTAGGTGTAAACAGTGTAAGCCTGGATACTTCAATGACCAATGTGACAAACAATGTCCACAGAACTGTCTAAAATCCTGTCATGTCGAAACCGGTCTTTGTAACAGTTGCAAAGGTAACTTTTATGGTGATAGTTGCAACTTTTCATGTGCCTATACATGCAATGTACAAACAACGGCAGGTGGAAGTTTATGTCAGCAGACAGATGGTAAATGTCTATATGGGTGTGTTGATGGTTTCCATGGTTTACAGTGTTCTAAGATATGTTCTGTTTATTGCAGCGATACAGTTTGTAACCAAACCACTGGCAAATGTACAAAAGGTTGCAAAACTAAAGTAAAGGATGATCATTTTTGCCCTCTGGTTTCAGGTAATAGATCTATTTATTTAAAAAAGCTCTGATAGTATATTTTACTTTTCTGTAGCAATACGAGGGGAAGTCAGAAAATATTCGGACTTTTGACTCGTTCTCGAAAAAAATCTTTCTACTCTTTTTCAAAATATTCTCCACCTACGTCTACGCACTTTTGCCATCTTCGTGGGAGCTTTTGTATTCCCGCTGCGAACCATGACGTAGACCTATGTTTTAGGTAATGTGTAACAGCAGATATCAAAGCCGCCCTGGTCTTATATTTCTTTCCAGCAAGCAATTTTCAGTTCTGGAAACAAATAAAAGTCACAGGGGGCGAGGTCTGGGCTATAAGGAGGGTGAGACAACAATTGTCATTTGTAAGAGTTGATAACCTCCACTGTAGCTGTGACGGTATGGGAGGGGCGTAATCGTGAAGAAGGAGGACATTTTTCTGTGCTAACCTGGGACGCATTTGCTTCAGCTTTTCTCTGAGATTTTTCAGAATTACTTCAGAATAGTACTTGGCGGTGACAGTTTGACCTTTTGGCATGAAATGAGTAAGTATCATTCCTCGTGAATCCCAAAAGGCAACACGCATGACGTTGCCAGCCGAAGGAGACAGCTTAATCTTTTTAGGAAGTGGGGAACCAGCTAGTTTCCACTGCTTTGACTGAGCTTTTGTCTCAGGTTCGGAATAATGAACCCACATCTCATCTCCAGTGATAATGCGGTTCAAAAACTTATCACCTTCACGATTAAAACGACTTAAATGTTGTTTTGCATTGGTTACTCTGGTTGCCTTTTGATCTGCGGACAGCTGTCTAGGCACCCACCTGGCACTTACCTTGCTCATGCCTAGGTGTTCGTGTAAAATCTTGTGTGCCGATGCCTTACCGATGCTAAACTTGTTGGCTACCTCCTACAGGAGGCTGCTACAATAACCTTTTTACCTTTCATACCCAAATATTTTCACACTATTGTGTATAATACATATCCATTATCAATGGTAGAATATCAACTACGAAAACCTGATCGGGCTTCAATATTATTAATAATATTGATTATTTAATGTAGAGCCTCAGAGGAAAAAGTTGCACGTGTTGTTAATATACTAATATACAACTTAATTGTATAACGCCGCCGGTCAAAATGATTGTCGTTATCGTTTATGTCCTGAAAGTTGTTAATGTGTTAATGGTCAGTTTGCATCAGGTACATTTGGCATCATATATTCAATATATCTGCTATTCCTTTATATGACTCATATCTAACCGGGTATGCAATTTTCCTGTAATTTTATTGTTTTCAGTGCTTCCGAGGGAATCACCCTTTTTTAGAATTTTTAGCTATGTATTATAATAACGTTTATATCATATAATGACTCGTCTGTAATGATGATGGTGAAAATGGAAGCTACTGCTGCTTCTAACGACTTTTAGAGATAATGATGATGATGATTATGATGATGATGATGATGATGATGATGATGATGATGATGATGGTGGTGATGATGATGATGATGATTATGATGATGATGATGATTTTTAATGATAAGAAGAATTATAGTTAAAGCGACAAAAATTAGAACGTGTTTATTTTTAGAAAATAACAATACAATATGTGAAAACCATATTAATGCAAGACATATATTTCTTGATAAATTTATAGAGACACTATATATATACATGTATAAACTTCCAATTATTTCTTTGTTTTATATCTTTGTATAACGCTCTTATTTCTACGCTCAGATTAGTGTATCATTTACCGATGTTTTTTCTACTTGATAATATTTTAGACTTAAGTTCCTCAGAGGAGTCAGTGAATACAGCTGCAATATTACTTGGAACAATTCTTGCTGTGTCAGTAGTTGTTAACATTATACTTGTGGTTACGTTGATTCTCTGGAAATATCGGAAAAGGTAAATATTGTTGTGTCATAGTTTGGAGACCTTTCTGTTGAAAATGTGTCAGAGTTAAATCGTATACATATACATGCAAAGTGCGTCAACTGGAGTGAAGGTATTAGTTACCCGCACTCCAGAGCATGACCATTGATTGGCTCATTTTGCTGGGGCTTACATATTGTGACGGCAGAGAAAGGGAAAGCGACAGAAATATCATATTCAGATGTTCGTTCATTGGTTCCTTTTTGCCGGGGTTTCATATTGTGACAACAGGAAACGTGTTTTTATGTTGGACTATGATACAAAAGAGAAAGAACATCAAAACACTTTTTAATTTGATTAAAACTCGGGGGCTACGCCCCCTCGTACAAATCAGATAGCCTCGTGTTTCGATGCTCTTTCTATTACTTAATATACTCCACTGAATTAAAGTAAAAGATAACTAAACTAGAAAAACTAAAATAACATAAAAGTTGAAAAAGCTGTTATACCAGAGACGTCCATCAATACAATATAAAATATGTCAAAAATTCAAAAATGTTTTCGCCCTTTTTTAATACAAAACAAAATATATTTAATGTGCATTGACTGGACAAAAAATAAACACAGTGTAAAAGTTTATATTAAACAAATATGTCTACATGCATTGCGAAACGTTTCTCTTATTTTGATACCTCATGCCTGCTTATGGATACCCCTGTTTTTCATTAAAAGCAGAACTTTGGAAATAATTACGTTTGCTAATGGCTATTTGAGTTACAATATGTGTTTATGTTATAAAATAATGTGTACCATCAATGAGTCGTTCATACTAACTGATGCTAACATTACTAAATAGGGGAAGACAATTGTGTATAATAATGGTTTGTACTCACATATGGCTCGTGCTTTTTAAGACTAGCATGCTAGAACAGTAGGACATCCATTTTGTTTCATTGTGATATATATACCAAACAAGAGATGTATCGGATCAGTTGTATATATTTGCCATAAGAAATTGACTTTTTTTAAGTAGTTCCAAGAAACGATGTCAACAAAAGCAAAAAAACAAAAAACAAAAAAAAAAACAAAAAACAATCGTACTATCTAAGGTTTGGGTTTTTACATCCGTGCAATTAAAATTACTTTTATCCGAAATATTGTCTTAGCAATAAATAAATACAGCATAACAGCTGTTGTATTTTTATCAAAGAAATTTGATATTAATAAGTGTAACGTAAACATAAAACATGATATAAATTGTTATACTGTTTTAACATATAAGTAAGATGTCAGCAAAATGTTGTTATTTAAATACTATTCTTCCTTTCTTGTGCTAAAATGTACGAATGAGTCCAACATGTAATTTTATTTGCATTTAAAGGGTCAATGCTAGTAGCAAGACAAATGGACCTCTTTATGAAAACTCTGGTAAATATATATCTATTTTCTTACTGATTTTCTTTTAATTTATGAATTTCATATTCTTAATTTCTTATTTTATGCGAGTCAGATTTCAATTAAATGAATCCCGATCAAGATCGTATTATGTTTTACCAACCGAGGTTTAAAAATGAAATGATATACTATTAGATAAAATAGTGAAATATTCATATCTTTTCAGGCATTGAAATGGAATGTGAAAATTCAACAAATCATAGAATTGTTCCAGGTATTTCCTTGTTTCTTTTTCTAGAGCTTTAATCGACTTCTTAAGATCTTCATTTGCATTTCATTTTAAATATACATGTATGCAATTATCAACAATTTCTTTCGCCAAAGAAAATTATGTTTAGTCAACTAACATATCATGAATTTCATTACGTTTTATTTTTAGTATAATACTAGGCCTTGACATTTATTTCATTTAAATATTTTCATGAAAATATAAATTTATGTTTGATTTTGCATTACTGATTGTTACGTCATCAATTTAAACTTTCAAATATCTTTTATCTAGCGGTTGCATTGTATTAAAGTTAATTTTCTTTACGTCTGCAAGATGTACATACAGGCACTGCAAATTTTGTTGTTGCTGTTGTTGTTCTAGACGTCGTCGTTGTTATTGTTGTTTAAAAGATAATTAGTAGCATGTATTCAAAGGGGGAACTTGTATATTTCCATCATAATGTATAACCCGTTATGAAGTTATTTGCAAGAATAACATTTTATAGAAAGGTTTATATTTCAGCATCAAACAACGACACTATGTTTAAGTTACATGACTATGAGGCTATTGGAAGAGCTCAAGGTATTTGTAAATTAATTGTTCGTTATATCGTAATGTAAATAGCTGAGATATTTAGTATCAGTATATTTTATGATTAAATATAAACTGTTTATATTGATTTTTTCCTCTACATTTTAACTGGTTTCCTAAAAATGATGTTTGAAATATTTTCATTGCTTTTTGTGTTTTTTTTGCAGTATCAGAACATGAATATGGACAAATTTGTCCAGCCACTGGGTTTCATTGATGTAATTATAGAAGTCAGCATTAGCAAAGATAAATGTTTATCACCAACAATAATTATTACTTTCATTTAAAGTGTCACGTCAATAGAGTAACAATTTGAATTATAAATAATGGACTACATTATATCAAACACAGCATCATTGTGAATGATGTATTCAGTTTCACTCTCTCTATTGTATAGTGCTGAAAACCTGTCTGATATTTTGATGTGTTGAGAGTGGCCTTCAGCTATAATATTTTGTTGGACAAATAATTTTGTGATGTTTCAAACGAAGTATGTCGGTAATATTACCTAGGAAAAGTTTTCAGGTTAAGCCTTCTTCAATACAGCACCCCGCGTGCAGTGACGATGAATTGGAAACGAATCGTCCGCCTTATAAATTAAAAGTGAGAGATAGTAGAAATATTCAGTATTGAATTTTATTACGAAGACCTCAACATTAAACATGGTTCACTACTGCACACAAGCATAGTTGTTTGTATGATACTACTTTAGTGTAAGTTTACTTAAAATGCTTATTTTTGTCCAGCGGCCATAAGGGATGATGCTTGTTCATAATAAATTTGTGTTTATGTTGTTGCATTTTTTCTTTGAAAATTCGATTACGATAGACTTTTAATTACATGTATTTATATCATTGTTTTATATCAGTGTTGGATTAAACCTCTTATTTAACTACAGGATAAATATTCGTTTTTCTGTTTGCCCTGGACTAATGTCACTCTGAAAAAATCAAAATGAAGACTTCAAAGACAAAGTCATGATCGGGTCATGATCTTGGGTCATGGTTGTTACTGGTAAATAAAGCCATCACCACGTCCCCGGCACCGTCTTTTGCATAATTTAACATTTAAGTACAGGAAAACGGTGTTACTGAAATGTTTTATACATCTGCAGATGTGTCCATACACGGCGCTGTTCATCGAACTTTCATTATGACTTTTTTCACGTCATCTGTAATCGCATAATTTTCAGAAGATGTACACATTTCATATAAAAGTTTCATTCAAAGGTAATTCTTGCAACATACTAAGATCATAACAATTGTGTATGGTGTTATAGAGCACATCTGGATCAGCATACATTTTTACTGATGCTCAATTTTGAGTTCCATATGGGGTTCTACCCCCTTGATGTATAAATGGTGTCATAATTTGTATCAATATTAGAACGATAATGCTAAACTTTCAATAAATATGTATACAATGAAATGATTTTGCATTCCATTGATTTATTTAATTTAATAACAAACACAAATTTAACACAAATGTGCAAAAATGTGATGGGAAATAAATTGAAAAACATAACATGTCACTCAAACTGTATCTTTTGAAAATTTCAAAACTATGCTTGATGAAGACAAAAACCTGCTTAAAACTAAGTTAAGCCTCTCTTTTAACATGCCTAAAATCTCCATAAGTGTAAGTGGCGTCCAAAAACTTAATATGGGTCATATGGGGGTTGCGTTCATTGAATTGGAAACGAATCGTCCGCCTTATAAATTAAAAGTGAGAGATAGTAGAAATATTCAGTATTGAATTTTATTACGAAGACCTCAACATTAAACATGGTTCACTACTGCACACAAACATAGTTGTTTGTATGATACTACTTTAGTGTAAGTTTACTTAAAATGCTTATTTTTGTCCAGCGGCCATAAGGGATGATGCTTGTTCATAATAAATTTGTGTTTATGTTGTTGCATTTTTTCTTTGAAAAATTCGATTACGATAGACTTTTAATTACATGTATTTATATCATTGTTTTATATCAGTGTTGGATTAAACCTCTTATTTAACTACAGGATAAATATTCGTTTTCTTGTTTGCCCTGGACTAATGTCACTCTGAAAAAATCAAAATGAAGACTTCAAAGACAAAGTCATGATCGGGTCATGATCTTGGGTCATGGTTGTTACTGGTAAATAAAGCCATCACCACGTACCCCGGCACCGTCTTTGCATAATTTAACATTTAAGTACAGGAAAACGGTGTTACTGAAATGTTTTATACATCTGCAGATGTGTCCATACACGGCGCTGTTCATCGAACTTTCATTATGACTTTTTTCACGTCATCTGTAATCGCATAATTTTCAGAAGATGTACACATTTCATATAAAAGTTTCATTCAAAGGTAATTCTTGCAACATACTAAGATCATAACAATTGTGTATGGTGTTATAGAGCACATCTGGATCAGCATACATTTTTACTGATGCTCAATTTTGAGTTCCATATGGGGTTCTACCCCCTTGATGTATAAATGGTGTCATAATTTGTATCAATATTAGAACGATAATGCTAAACTTTCAATAAATATGTATACAATGAAATGATTTTGCATTCCATTGATTTATTTAATTTAATAACAAACACAAATTTAAAACAAATGTGCAAAAATGTGATGGGAAATAAATTGAAAAACATAACATGTCACTCAAACTGTATCTTTTGAAAATTTCAAAACTATGCTTGATGAAGACAAAAACCTGCTTAAAACTAAGTTAAGCCTCTCTTTTAACATGCCTAAAATCTCCATAAGTGTAAGTGGCGTCCAAAAACTTAATATGGGTCATATGGGGGTTGCGTTCATTGAATTGGAAACGAATCGTCCGCCTTATAAATTAAAAGTGAGAGATAGTAGAAATATTCAGTATTGAATTTTATTACGAAGACCTCAACATTAAACATGGTTCACTACTGCACACAAACATAGTTGTTTGTATGATACTACTGTAGTGTAAGTTTACTTAAAATGCTTATTTTTGTCCAGCGGCCATAAGGGATGATGTTTGTTCATAATAAATTTGTGTTTATGTTGTTGCATTTTTTCTTTGAAAAATTCGATTACGATAGACTTTTAATTACATGTATTTATATCATTGTTTTATATCAGTGTTGGATTAAACCTCTTATTTAACTACAGGATAAATATTCGTTTTCTCGTTTGCCCTTGACTAATGTCACTCTGAAAAAATCAAAATGAAGACTTCAAAGACAAAGTCATGATCGGGTCATGATCTTGGGTCATGGTTGTTACTGGTAAATAAAGCCATCACCACGTACCCCGGCACCGTCTTTGCATAATTTAACATTTAAGTACAGGAAAACGGTGTTACTGAAATGTTTTATACATCTGCAGATGTGTCCATACACGGCGCTGTTCATCGAACTTTCATTATGACTTTTTTCGCGTCATCTGTAATCGCATAATTTTCAGTAGATGTACACATTTCATATAAAAGTTTCATTCAAAGGTAATTCTTGCAACATACTAAGATCATAACAATTGTGTATGGTGTTATAGAGCACATCTGGATCAGCATACATTTTTACTGATGCTCAATTTTGAGTTCCATATGGGGTTCTACCCCCTTGATGTATAAATGGTGTCATAATTTGTATCAATATTAGAACGATAATGCTAAACTTTCAATAAATATGTATAAAATGAAATGATTTTTCATTCCATTGATTTATTTAATTTCATAACAAACACAAATGTAACACAAATGTGCAAAAATGTGATGGGAAATAAATTGAAAAACATAACTTGTCGCTCAAACTGTATCTTTTGAAAATTTCAAAACTATGCTTGATGAAGACAAAACCTGTTTAAAAATCCAGTTAAGCCTCTCTTTTTACATGCCTAAAATCTCCATAAGTGTATGTGGCGTCCAAAAACTTAAATTAACCGCTTAACAGACTGGCACATCTAAATTGCCATAGCTGCATCCTGGGAGTATTTTAAGGCTTATTCAGCAGGCAGAGAATACATAATTTTTGCAGCATCTTGGTAACATGGAAAACATGTTTCCATCAATGTAAATATGACCAATTAAGATTGGCAACTATCTCAGCGCGAAAATATGAAATTTAAGCAAAAAGAGATATTTTCGTTGTAACAGTGGAGTAATGATATAGAACTAGCTTTATACATTTAAGAAAGAGAACAAATTAATGCAAATTTTAAGCAAACATCAAAATTTATTTGTATATCGACAAAAAGGTTTCTATCCCTTAACGTGAAAAATATGGTTGTCTAAATATACAATTAGAAAATAATGAAAACAAAGATCAACAAGAAAGAGCGCCATTAACTGAACGCAGCCCCACCAAATCTCAAGATATGTACGTTGTGATTACAGAAAATGTAGGGGATACAATGCAGATAACCCAGATGGAGACAAACCAGGGAGACAGCCTTTCAACTGTTGCCTGGTATATAAACTTCCCAACATACAGTAGGTTCAACATTTTCGATGTCCTATAAACTTCCAAAATTAACGCTTTCAACATTTGCAGGGGACTTACTTCAGTGGCAGACATTCTGGGATTCTTATGAATCATCCGTACATAATAACCCGTCTCTCACAGATGTATAGTAGTTTACATATTTGAAAGCACAACAGCCAGTACAATAGCGGGTTTCGCACTCACAAATGCCAATTACTCTAGAGCGGTCAATTAAGTTACTTCATGAACGATTTGGACGAACACATAAGATCTTACACGCATCTATGCAAGCCTTATTACAACTTCCGACACCGAATAATACTCTTAGCAGCCTACAGAAATATTACGATCAACTGGAATCATACATTCGCTGTTTAGAGAGATGTCAAGGGATTTTAAGAACTTATGTGTTTGTCCAAATCGTTCATTTACCATACTTACATGGACTTCAATTGGCACATCCCTTAAACCAAGATTCATTTGATATTTCGCTTCTGATAGGTGCAGATTTCTACTGGAAGATAGTTAAGAACCGGATAATTCGTGGACATGGACCTACGGCCGTAAGCTCAAAGGTCGGATACCTTTTGTCAGGACCACTTCAGAAGACACAACCACCAATACCTTGTTACACATTTAAAAAATAAAGACAAAACAAAGTTACACCTCCAATAATTCAATTAGTATATTACCTGCTCAAATAGAATTACTAGTCATACTGAACACAGTGTCAAAAAGATAATCCCAAAGAATTATTCATTCTCAAATATCTTTGTAATTTGCATGAACTATTTCGCGCGAAGTAATTCCAGGAAAATATGTAAAAGAATTAATCGCATCGCTAGTTCAAAAACACAGGGTATGTTTCAAATCTTCAAATCGACTTTTTGAATTTGTATGGTTTCGTATGGAACGCCATAGCTGCCTCATGTTGTTACATTTCGTTTTATTTTTAAGTAAAAGCATCTTATTATGTATAATAGAAGTGTTGGCTTGCCAACGTTAACTTTTATGAGAACCTATCTGAAAGAAGACTTATTAGGTCAAATATTCATTTTCTCTTGTCAAAACGTAGTGCTGACTTGTCTTAACACTGTCTTATTATTTCAAAACGCCATGTGTGCAAATCCTGTGTTAACATGCCGAATGGAAGTCTTAATATGTCTAACATGCACGCAATCTTTTCGAATTAAGATTTCAATATGTTTGAACACAGACTTGTTTAAATGTAGTGTTGAATTGTCTTGAAATTGTCTTATCATGTGAAACAGTAGTGTTATCTTGTCGGAAATTGGTATCATCTTGTCCAAATGTGATCCTGGTATGTTATGACACTGTTGTATTATGTTATACTGTCGTTTTGGCTTGTCCAAAT